AAAAGATGGGGGGGAACTGTGTTTCCGCAAGCGTATCTCAGTGTCATCATCCCAAAAGACATTAAATTTACAAATAGTTTCTGACCAAAATATAACCTGAGCTCCCACTGATACGACCCTTAAAATGGAGTTACCTCGTAATATTGTAACGAAGACCTTCTCAGCAAAATTTTGTAATATGATTTTCTTAGGACTTAGGGAGGGGAAAGGGACAGGGGCGTGCGAAAGCATTTCCCTTTTAGGCTTTTCTATAATACAAATTGACCACCCCTTATAATTCTATAATTGAGATTTGAGACATTGTAACTAGGGATCATGCCACCTGCCCAGGGCCTCTCCCATGCGAACCCGGTCTCCCTTTTTAATACAAAACCTGAATTCTGCTGACATGCTTATCGGAGCTTGGAAGACCAGAACCACTGTTGAACCCATATTGAAGGCTGCTAGCTGTAGAATTCAACGGAATCAAATAGAGAATTACTCAATTGATCTATATATTGTTTCGAATCAAAAATGGGAGAAAGTAATTGTACAACATTTACATACTATTATTTTGTCCATAAGATGTTGACATATTATTATACAAAGCTATTCTGGTATTCCCGAATATCCATGAACATATTTGCAACCTATGATGAGCGCTTCAAAATCAATTTCTTGGCTAGAGCCATAATAGCACTACCTAGCAAGAACTGTTTCTTCTAGTCTGTAATATGTGTATATATATTACGGATTGTAATGCAGGGATTAGTTATGTAGGGATTAGGAATACACGGATCGCTTCTTGTTGGTTGTTGGATTTATTGCACTAAAATTGGATATACAAGCTATCATTTGAAATATTTGTTTATTTTTTAAACTAAAAAGCAATGAGTTTACAATTATACCCTTGGATGCTTGACCTTCATTGGCTTCTAGGAAAAAGACAAGGGTAATTTCGTCCTTTTGGTGCTTTATCCATATATAAGTTATACATGGATAAGTTATTCCATTTTGTTGGTGGTATATGGTGTATTAAGTTATACATGATTCAAATTACAAACCAAACATTGGATAAACTTATACCAAATTATATATCACGGAAGATATCCGGGTGAAGGTGGGCGTGGTTTCCATGGAAGACAAGATGCGGGAAGCTAGGCTTAGATGGTTCGGGCACGTGCGGAGGAGAAGCATGGATTCCCCGGCAAGGAGGTGTGAACGGCTAGCCTTGACGGGTACGAGTAGAGGTAGAGGGCGGCTTAAGAAGTATTGGGCAGAGGTATGGGTGGCATGTGGGCCGGTTAG